CAAACCAAACAGTGCCTAAACAGTTTTGTATCTGTTTAATTCAAATTGAACAGGTACAGTACCTGTTTAAATCAAAATGTAAAGTCACCAATCCATCTATAAATAGACTAAGCCCCCCCATTTGGAAAGATACTCCAATTTTCGTACTCCTTCTTCTGCTATAAATGTATTCTTCATTTTGCATTAAGTTCTTGTTACAGAGAGTATAAACACTTAGTGTGTTCGACGAACGAATAAATTGTAGTGCTGCTTTTATTCGTTGATAGATCATTTTATCCTGGGAGATAGACGTCTAGATTCTGAAAGCACCGTGGAGAGGATGAATCTATCTTATAGACACAGTGTTAAACACTGGACTTGATCAGATAGTTATTCAAAAGAAATTAACCAAGTAAGTTGTTTAATTTTTATTCCGATTTTAATTTTATTTATTTAATCAGATTTTAATTTTGTTTTTGTAACAAAATAAAAACAGATTTTATTTATTTATTTTTATTTCCAGTTTGATTTTTGTAATCAAACAAATTCTCTCCTTTTCTTTATTTCTTTATATTCTTGTTGTTGTTTTGTACACAACAGAATTTAATCTATTTAAATACAGTGAAGATTGTCCAACAAACTCCACTTAATAATACCCTCAAAAACTGCTCCAGTTTATAGTTTTTATATCTTTATGGACACTTACTCTTAACTGTCTCAATTTGAAGTTTTGAATCCTTGTGGACTCTACACTTTTCGAACTGCCCAGTTCATAGTTTTTGAATCTTGATATGATGATTCTTCACTTTTAGCGGACTCCCTGCATCAAATCTACGCCTTCTCGTGATGCATTCTCTTATTAATTTGGCACACTCAGCGTGTGGGCCTCCAATTTTAGTTATCATATAAAAACAAACTCTGCTCATGTATGGCTGCATGCCTACCACAAGTGTTATTTTTTCATTGGCTTAGACATGTGATGTGAAATATAAAACACTAAGCATGATATTGATAGCATGATTGATCTACAGTGTATTTCGTATACTACTCGGATCACTATTTTTTTTTTTTGGGGTTGGTGAGGAGAAAAGCTAATGCTGCAATTACACTAAGCATGGCATTGGTAGCATTATTGATCTACAATGTATTTCACAAATTATCTAGATATATTAGTTTTCTTGACTTACTCCACCAGTTGTGGAAAATAACTTCCTCAAATTATACCTTTGACGGCAAAATACGTAATGAAAAGAGGGATGAGAGTAGTGCATAGTGCATATCAATGTTGTAAAAATACATTTGTCTGTTAAAGTTGGAGAAGGGGAGAGGTGGGTGGGGGAGAAAGAAAAATGTATTGTTTGAAAGACGATCATAGTAGTTGAGTTTAGACTTTTCACTTGTGAGGATAGTATGACTTATGTTTATGCATCGTATTGACATTACAATATTAAGTACTACTGCAGTCACTGTTTTGCTTGACTAGAGTTTGCTGATTACTTCTTATATATTTAGGGAAATTTAGCTATAAACCTCTTTTACCTTCCTTTCATTGTTATAAGGACTAAGAAAAAAATTATACTTTCTAAACCCCCTCATAATTATAAAGTCTTGCATAAAGGACAAAATTTATTGTTTAAATATTTTATTAGACTATTATACCTTCAACTAAATTTTCTCACCTTCTCCACCCACTCTCTCCCCACCTTCTCTTTCTCTCTCCTCCCTCTTTTCCTTCTGACTTTGTTCTCCGCCAACGTTTTCCTCCTCATTACCGTCGGAAACTTCCAGCTTCTTCTCCGGCAATGATAGCAATGACGGCTATGATGATTTCCTTCCAGATCTGAAGCTCTGTTTCTCGACAATTTTGGTGACGTGCTCCTCCTCCTTCTCATTGCCTCGATCTGTCATCCGGTGCCGGAATCGAAGGAGATCGTCTACGAGGAAAAACATATCGTCTCTGAATTGATCGTTGTTACTCCGAAGAGCAATGAATTGATCGTTGAAACGGCATGTTTGGTGGAGTTGTTTGGTTATACATATTTTTTTAAACATAGATTTGAGTGTTGAATATATGTATGTATATATATATATATATATATTTGTGTGTATGAGTGTTGTTGAATACATGTATTCTTTTCTTTGAGATTTACGATTGTTGATCGAGTTTTAGAAGTTTTTCTTCTCAATTAGATATGTTGATTTGTTGATTAATTTGTTTTGTTTTTGTTTGTTTGTTTTTTGATTTATTTTTGTTATTTTTTATCTAATTCATTTGACAGAACCAGAGTAAAATTTTACTCTGGTTCTATTGCTCTGTTTTTTGTTTCAGATAATGAGAGTAAAATTTTACTCTTGTTCTATTGTAGAGTAAAATTTTACTTTTGTGTAGAGTAAAATTTTACTTTTATACAGAGTAAAATTTTACTTTTGTGTAGAGTCTAACATTTTACTAGTTTTTCAGAGTAAAATTTAACTTTTATACAGATTAAAATTTTACTTTTAGTTTCAGAGTAACATTTTACTCTTATTCAGAGTAAAATTTTACTTTTATACAGAGTAGAATTTTACTCTGAAATACACAATGAAGATGACTTAATAGGAGAGCTGATAGATATGAGGGTAATATAGTAAAAAAAACAAGTTTTAAAATATTAGAAGGTTTTGAAAGTACTTATATAATTCGTGTCTTTTTGAAAGACAAATTAGATAGTGATGGGGCTATCACCAAATCCCCCTTAAAAATTAGGTATGCTCCTTTCAGGTCTCAAGTTAAACTCTCAGGATGTGTCATGTTTATAGGTATTATTTGAGATTTGTCCGATCTACATGGAAGGGACGTTTGGTGTAGATTCTAAGATTAGTCGAGAAATACGTAACTGATTCAGACATCCGACTATCATAAAAATATAAAACTTAATTGAATAAACATAATCCAGACGCAGAGGGAATAAGTCAATTGGATAGTTCAAGTGGCTAAAAATTATCGAGAATGAGTCATTTTATAAATCAAAAATTTTAATTTTTTCAAACATAATTTTTAAACAAATTTTTTTTATTTATATAAAATGTTTTGGTAATAGCATTTTTCAAGACAACTTCAAAGGCCTCTTTGGGCAAAGAGGTTAAAAGTCATTTTTTGACTTCTAATTTTTTTTTAGTCACATCATTTCTCTACTTTTTTTACATGTTTTTCCAAAAAAAAGTTTTAAAAAAAAATACGAAAAATTAGCTTTTAACATATTTCCTAAAACAACCCAAAAAAATTGTTTGTACTAGTTATAGTGGGCTAATGATGTAGCTTAAGAGATAGGCGAAAGAATAAGAAGATTTAACCATATAGACAGAATTAATAGCAAAAAAGTAAAATTTTCAATTCAAAAAATATAGACAGGATTTACAATTCAAAATATAAAACCCTAATTTCAAAAAATATAGACAGGATTCACAATTCACAATGCAAAAAATATAGACAGGATTCACAATTCAAAACCCTAATTTCTGAAACTATAACCCTAATTTCTGATTTCACAATTCAAAACCCTAACCCTAATTCATGATTTCACATTCAATTGAAAACCCTAGAAAATTTTCACAATTCAAAACCACAACATGTACAAATTCAAAACTACAATTTCAATTCACAGAACCTATTCTACCCACATTGATATCAATTTCAATTCACAACATTTTCACTGTCACAAACCCTATTCTACCAACATTTCCATCAATTCACAACATTTTCACATTCATGAACCCTATTCTACCCACATTATACCCACATTGTACCCACATTCACATTTTCACAAACACAATAAGCACATAAAATTCAAATGAGACAGAGAGAGACAGACGTCATACCAGCGAGAGAGAGCAACCCACGGACGAAGAGAGAGCAGAGAGAGATACTGAGAGCAGAGAGTGTGTGTGAGAGCAGAGAGACAGTTTGAGAGCAGAGGGAGCGAGAGCAGAGAGAGACCGAGAGCGAGAGTGAGAGAGAACCTGAAGTCGAAAAAACCTATGTGTGAAAAGCGTTGTTGCAAATGACGGGACTAGGGGAGTTTTTATATAAGTTTTAAAAGCGTGGTTACGAACCACGATTTCACTTAAAAACGGATTTTGGTTAAAAGCGTGGTTATCATCCACGCTTTCTATGGTGAACAGTAAAAGCGTGATTCACAACTACGTTTTCAGTAGAATTTTTTTTTAGTTAAAAGCGTTGTTCACAACCACGTTTTCAGAAAAAAAAATAATTTTCAGTTAAAAACGTGGTTCACAACCACGCTTTCAGAAAAAAAAAAATAAAAAAATAAAAAAATAACTAAAAGCGTGGTTACAAATCACACTTTCTTAATTAAAAGCGTGGTTTGGAAACACGCTTTTACGATTTCACAAAATTTTCACGTGACAGCCACAAAAACGTTGAAAGCGTGGTTCACAACCACGTTTTAGCCTAGTTTGAGAATTCTGTCCAAACTAGACCTAGTTAGACCTAGTTTGGGAATTAAATTGCTAATTTGGCTTAATTTGGGAAAAGTCTCCAAAAACTGACTGGTCAAGGAGAGAGAGAGAGAGAGAATCATTGTACTGGGCATAAGAATTAGACTGTGAACCCAAACCAGAAGCAAAAGGACTCGTGAAATCATCCCCAACAATAGGAAAAGCATTTCTAAAAATACTTTAAACCAACTGTACAGCCAGAAGCAAAAAACAACTCAAATTTGTGCTTCATACCTTTGTGAAATTAGTGGGATTCGAAATTCATTCTATAGCAGTCCCAATCCAGAACATGTTTGCAGCAGAGATGCAGATTCCAGTGCTTCAGCCACGGTCCTGAAAGTTGAAAGTCACCTGCCAATAAATTACTATGTTGGGCTTTACAACAAAACATACTTCATGTGCTGCTACTGCCATCAGGGGAACGAAATCTGGTCATCTGAGTAAGATAGGTTTTCGATTCACAAAATCATAACATGATGTTCTACCAGGCAGGAAATTCAAAATTACAGAGGTGATAGATAAACTAAGCAAGCAAAAAGCAAACAAAATTCATATTCATTGCAAGCCGATAAGAATCAAATACACTAACTCCACCATTCTCCCAAAACCATCTATACATGTGCAGGCATGTTGGCTACCAATAATTTACAAAAAAAAAAATAGGGTTCAAGCTCAGTTTCACAATCTTTTTACAGGGTTGGAACCATTGCCATCCTTTCCCATAAAATATAAGTTGATAATTAGACCTCAACATTAGCTTTGTTCCCGGCAAGGATGAGGGAGATCTCAAGCCCACGACTAAATGCTTGATTGAAGAGTAAGCGAGACTGGAAGGTGGAAACAAATGGGAACCAAGACAACACAGCGATGGGCGCAAAAATGATCATACCCATCCCGGCATCATACATTCTCGCAAACTCCCGCACTGAATCCCATAAGCCTAGGCTTCTTACTATTCTCTTCCATGTAATCGCCAGCTGCATCAGCACAAAAAGAAAAAAAAGGTTTAGAGGATATCAGGAAAGAGCAGGTGCAAAGAATACAGGAAAGAGCAGTTGCAAAGAATACAAGTAAACAGTTTTCACCAAGATATGTTTTTCTTTCGATTTTTTCCCCCTCTTCTCTAAACGTCCCACCAAAGGGATCACCATCCGAATTGACTGCTCTTTCATGAGAATGTGCCAAAGAAACGAGAGCAAGCCCAATTACAAATAAATGAAATTACCAACCCAACCTATGTATATACAACAATCCAAGCACACAAAAATAGCAATACGTTGCTCCAAAACCAACTGTATGAGCTAGATTCCTACAAACATCTAATTTAAGGTCATTTCACTTCAAGGTGAACATGAATCCAACATCCTCTAGTCTGGTAGAGTAATTAATAAACTAAGTAACATGGTGAAGTTATACCACATTTTTTAAGTCCCATTAGCTGCTAAATTAACATGGTGAATTCTTCATCCCTTTCTCCCAAACATGCAAGGATAGTCTCTTATTTGCTCACTTTCGGGAAAGTATCATAATTTCAATCCACTCAAAAAGTATCTCTATACTTCTCACAAAGATTCAGAGTACTTGCAAATTAGCACACAAAAAAGAGAGTTAATCTATGCTATTAACTTACACATAAAATGGTCCATCCAGTAGGAATAAACGCGAGAATGCTAGCGAACAAGTCTGGAATTGAAAGGTTTGTAAAGGCAACAACAAGGCAAAGAGCTACAATGAGTCCCAAGGATGTAACTCCTTGCAAAAACCGAATCATTAGCTGGAAGTTGGTTGATTTCTTTGGGCTATATGTGAAGATCTGTGAAGTCATAGAATATTGAACACAACATGAGTTTTACAGCACAACTCAAGCAACCATATGATTCATGCTCCATAAAAAATAAAAGTTTGAGAACAAAATGAAAAGAAAGAAAAAGACAATCTTAAAGAAGAAAGGATTCCAACCTTGAATATCATAACAATTCCGACCAGTACAATCCAAGAAAAGCCATAAAGCTGGACAATAATAGCAAATGTCAAGATCATGAAGAAGCAAGGCTAAAAATCAATGCACATAGACTCTGCAACTCAAATTATCTGTATCTTATATTTGTAGGTTAAAAGAAAAAACAATATTGTAGTCATGAGAGTGTTTACTTTCAGCAATAAGAGCTTAAAACAAAATGTTGGCTTGGTTTCACAAGTGAAAAAGAACTTAATCTGGAAATGAGGAACTGAATCATGGCTAGGCTACTAAATCACTCATCATGCAGTTTTTGACTTTCTGCCTTCTGATGAAGACAATGCTATTATCTTAAACAGGTCCCAGAGGGCCACAGAAATGATAACCCAAAGCAGTTTGCGAAATTTTTTATTTATTTTTTCAAGCACGGAGATAACTGTCTAAGAAGCACAAACACTGCTACGAAGATTTCATTTTGAACACTCTGCAACGTGTTGGACAAGTGTCCAAACATGACATTGTTTTTTTAATTTTTAGGAACTGGACAGTTACGGAACAAATGTGTCCGTCGCTTAGACACATGTAAAACACATGGCAAGTTAAAAGAAAATAAACATGGATCCAATGATTAATTGAAATGTTAGTCTTTATAATTTTAAGCTATATTTTCAAATAAAGTATAGGTGCCTGGTGCAGGTTCTACATTTAAGTGCTAGATTCATCTAATTCTCATGTCTGAGGACAAAATGACACTGCAAAATATTCATGTTTCTTAATATTCTTCTTTTATTTTCAAGAGTGAAATGGGGTTTACAAGGTCAGATAGAGCATTACATGTATTATATGGAAGTTTCATGCATCACTATATAGTAAACTTGAATTGTTAATCACGCTTGTAGTTGTTGGGCAAATGTCCAACTATATACATGTCTAATACATATCCCATAAGACCAAACCCTTACGTGTCTGAAATGGATACATCACACAATTATTAGAGTTCATCTCAACATAGATTTCAAGAACTCTTAAATCTAAAATCTTTGATTTGTTTGTCAATAGAGCCATTTTAAAAAAGGGACAAACTTCACATTATCCTTGTGTGGTATAGGCCATGGTCACATAACCCCTCTTATCATTTGGAAAAATCACTCAACCCCCTTTGGGCTGTGGACTAAAACGCATCGTCACAATTTCCATCCAAATTAACTGAAAGCTCATTACACACGTCTATGAATTGAAAAGCCTAGCTCACACTTCTTCTTAAAACCCAAGTATTAAGGAGAGAGAAACTAGAGCCTTATAACTAGCACATATGAGGCAACTCCAGGCGATGTGAGACACATTCCAACACACCCTCCTGGACCACAACATACAATAACCGGACAAATGGTACGTCAATCACAGGGCCAACCAAGCTCCGATACCAAATTGAAAAGCCCAACCACACTACTTAAAAATTCAGGTATTAAGGAGAGGGAAACTAGAGCTTTATAACCAGCACAAATGAAGCAACTCCAGGCAATGTGAGACACATTCTAACACTATGTTGTGGGAACCATTTTTCTAAGACAAAAATACTCTTATTAAACTTCAAGTTTTACAAACAAAAAAAAAATGCCATTTTCTTCTCTTTTCTATTTCTCTATCCTACTCCCTCCTCCCCCTCACTCTATTTTCTTCTTCCTCTGTTGATAGGGAAATTATGTGCACATGACCTATACCAAGGAGGTAAAGTGTAATTTGCACTTAAATTAATATTAGGACTTCATATCACACTACTTTACCAACATATAGAGTGAAGAAAATATTTTTTATACTAGCATGATATAACAAAAATAAAAATATTTGCATGTAAAAAGCAGAGTAGGGATTATATTGATATCTATACATAAAAGTAAATATACATATTTATTGTAGTGCAATGTGAAAAAAGGAGCAAGTTTTTTTCATGTAGATTGTAGGGTCAAATCCCACGAGGACCAAACATCCCAAACCTTGGGGCCACTAGAGGTTTGCCCAGTCGTTAACTTCAAGGTCCCGGGATTAGTTGAGGTGTGCGTAAGCTGGCCCAGACATCCGGTTATCAACAACAACAACAAAAAAAGTATGGTAGTGGTGCTTGCTTTGTATTGTTAAAACAGACTATTTTACATTTTCTTTTTCTGACAGCAGACATTTTCTTGGTATTTCTAGAAGGGTGCGTAGTTACATCAGAAAGGTTTGGCTTAATAAAACAGCGTAGATGAAATGAAGAATAATCACTATCAGTACACTCCTTGATTTACAGATTAGTCAGAAAGAACTTAGAAATCAAATTTAGATTAGCTCAAGTTCCAACTACCAGTTTAACGTGTATTGCAATGCATCCTTCAAGGCTATTTATGTCAACAGATCATAATGGGATAAATCATGGGAACTTAAATTACTAATCCATAAGCAATAGAAAGTGGTAACTCCCTGGGTCAGGAGTACCTCAAATACGACTCTAGCATGGAATAATATATAAAATATGCATCATACGAGCAAGAAAAGAACCAGAGTATACCGCAAGTGATGTGTCCTTCGCCGTGACATGGAGTTTGTATACAATACCATATTGAAAAAGCAAAAACCTCAAGCTTAAAATTGTTTCAAGTATCTGGCCTCTCAATGTTTGGATATGCATCTGCAAGACAAAAAGAGTAACTCTCTTAATAAAAGCGGTTAAAAAGCAGCAAAAAGCAATAATCACAGGTCAAACTTTTGGAATGAGTTAGAAATTGAAACCAATACTTTAAAAGATTCCCAAGGTTAACAATAATTAAGTAAAGGAAATAATGAAAGCAACACAACCACATTTGTGAAACTGAAGAAGGAATTGAGAAATGTAAAAGTTTTTTCTTTCGCAACAATTTTGCTCCTTTATCAAAATTTTAGAAGTATGCCTTTAGCAGGCTTCCCATGTTTGTTTAATTTTCTGACATAATATATATATATATATATTTTTTTTTTCTTACTTTTTAAAAGAAAGATTAAAATGGTCTAGCTACCTTCCCCAACCCCCTTACAACCGGGAGAGCAACAGGGAGAGAGAAAAAAAAAAAAAAAAAATTTTGCTCAAGCTCAAGCAAAGAGAAGTTACAATGTGGTCAAATTAACACTCCTATGACTGAAAAGAGAAGGAAACAGGAAATTATGTTGGCGACTTTCTAGTATCATATATAAAAGAAACAAAAAGACAAAGAATAAGAGAAAAAAGATAAGAGTAGTATCTCATCTAGGCAACACAGTTACTGAGAACCACCTGTTCTTCGTCCCACCATGATTCCCAGCTACTTTCTCCCTTTACACCGACTCCACCTTTATACAGAAGCCAACTAGTCCAATCATCAAAATCTTCGACAGTCCTGTTCATTGCATCAAAGAATTATAAGACAAATAAGGCCCGGTTAAGCCTCCAAAACCTGCACAATATAATGTTTCAAATGGGGAAAGCAGCAAAGTAGTAGTTGTACATGAGAGGCAAAATTCAAAGCTACAGAGAAAATGATACATTGAACCAACAATACATAAACCACAGAAGATTTGAGGTAGTTTAAAAAAAAAATAAGAAGAAATGATTTAATACTTACTTTTGCCACTCAAAACCAGAGGGGTTGAAGATATAAGGAGCAAACAGCCACGAGATGACAAGGAACCAACTGCTGAGAGTCAGCAGAACGAAAGATACAGCACCACCCTCCGTGTACCCATATGCGAGGTAAACTATAAGCAGCAGTGCTACTTCGAGCCTTTGGAAAAAAACAATTGTAAAGCAAAGTGTTACATATCATTCATAAAATCCCCATCCCCTCCCTACAAAAATAATTAGTATGAGAAAATTCAATCATTCATTTTGATCAAATATACACTCACGCCTTGACGAAATGACTTCTTGAATAAAGCCTGTAATTATCAGCAAACTTGATGTGACGTACAACAAAGCCTCTGCCTGTTGCTCTGTACTGTAGGTGATATTTCACAAAGCATATGTAATCAATTAATTGTGCCCTAAAAACTGTATATATATATAAGCATCCTAATTTCAAACAACAGATGGGGGTAGCATACTTTTGCACCACCATGGAGGATAGTACGTCCAAAATAATGAGTTCTAGTTCCTAATGAGAATGTGAAAAAGACAGAACATAGCTGAAGCTGCATTGTAATGAAGCTGAAAATCGCCTGTAAAATATAGCATGGAAGATGATCAAAATGATGAAATATTGCACTAGGTAATGAGAATATATTCAGCCCGATAAAACTTCAATCAGAGTATAATAACTAAGATGACAGAAAAATGTAGATGTTTGTCGATGAATATGACATATTTAGAGGAAATGTGATCTTGATTTGTCAAAATTAGATGGGCCAACCTGCAGCAATCCCATTTCAAGAATGAAACCCATTATCATTGGAACGGCAGTAAAAATTCCAATCTGGACCAAGAATTGAGCATTTAAAACTGCATTCAGTGCAGTATTACCCAGCATTTTAGCTGTCTTTGAAATTCCTTCATCAAGACCAGAGAAAGCCTGAAAGATTTAGAAGCAAATCACTAAAGGTTAAATATCTGAACGGGGAAAAGTGCTAGCTATTACCGAACTAAAAAAAAAATCCTACAGTTGTCCATCCAATCAAACAGGCTGATATGACAGTAAAGCAATTAGAAACCTAAACAACAGATTCAATTGAAGCAGAAAGAACATACTACCCAACTACTACATGCATAGAACAAGGTATGTTGCAGTTATTGCTGTAAACGCTTTGTTTTCCTTCAAAGAAAAAAAAACTATGAATGCATCCATCCTGTCAGGGATCATCATTTGACCAGCTCGAGGGGTGACCAAAGTACACGGAAGCGGCACAAGCCCAGCATACCATGGTCTCCAACTTTTCAAATTTTTATGACATACCAAAACCATAGTTATTAGAATGTTCCAAGGCTTTTTAACTGTTGCAGCAAACTGAAGACTTGAAAGCTTCGTTACCACCAGGTGTTCAACTAGTACAAACTGATGCATGTAAAATAGTGGCATCAAGCACACCTACGCCCAAGGAAGCACGGGTGCGGGTGCGGGTGCGGGTACGAGTGCGGGTACGCCGATTCGGCAAAACTCAAAAAAAGTACGATACGGGTACGACTGCGGTACGTCGATATATATATATATATTTTGAAATATAATTATGATTAAAGGATCCAACTTACAAATTAAAATTAAATATCAAAACTAAAAAAAGAATTACTCATTTTCCTATAATTTAAAACCATTAAGCGTTAAAAATAATATTTGTGAAATCTCTCACTTTGACATGTTATGCACTGTGAATTTGTGATCATAATTTATTTTTAAAATCTTTCTTTTTGCTCATCAATTTGCTATTTTCATAGGGTGAGACCAAAGATATAACAGGAGACCAAAGAAAGATTTAAAGTTAATTGCCAACAGTAAAGGAAAAAAAATTATCAATTGGGGCAGGTTTTCAATTGCAATTTGCATAATACATAAAATTGCATCATTCTCAACCACTACTAATCAACTAATACAGTATCAATTTTTAATGTTTTGTGCATAAACTTCAAAGTTTGTTATGATTAAAGATTTTATAAAGAAATTCTAGGAGGATCTGAAGCAAAAGCATAATGCATAGTCATACACAGAACTACCCTTTATAGGCCTTGTTATTTTTTTTGGTTCAAATTGCTTTTTAAAAACATCAAAATCATTTGCTGATATGCTTATACAATTTATACAGACAGACAGAACAACAGAGAAACATCAAAATTACTGATCTGCAAGGGCACCAAAAAAAAATAAAAATAATAAAAATAATTGCTGATCTGCAAGGGCAAAAAAAAAATATTAAAAAAAAGGCCCTGGCGTACCCATGCCGTACCCGAATAAACCAAACGTACCGGACCTTCTTTTGCCATATCGGCACGCGTACCCGCACCCGGTAAGTACCCGGTACTCGTACGGCATTATTTTTGGAGTACCCGTGCTTTATAGCCGACGCCAGTATGTCTTTTGATAACAACAATTGTAAAAATTGACAATCATAAATGTTAAATAATTAAAGTCACACGGTCTCTCATGACTTAACTTTGGAACAACTGTTGACCTAAAATCTCTATTATTAGCATCTTACGATTTGCGATTCAATTCATGATTCAATTCGCAATTTTTGCAAGATCAATATGAATCTATCAGTGAATCTATTTTGGAAGTGAATTTATAGTGAATCGCACGATTCATGATTCGATTCACTTTTTACGATTCATGCAATTCTTAAAACTATCGTGTCCGATATATTTTTGACTATTTTTTTCTCCATCTTTGTAGTTAAAATGACATAATACAACTTTTAATAGCGTTTAGTGCCAAAATAACTAATACATATACATGATTTGTTGTCATTTTAGTGATCATGGAGTTTTTAATAAGTTCCAATCAGATTCAGTCAATCTAACATGTTATTAACCTTTCCTCATTTTTTTCCCTTCAAAATCATAATATATCTGCTTTAAGATTAAAATAACTTACACATTGCTATTTTATTAAATTAAATATAGTTGAATATTACATGGGTGAGGTCAGTTATACTTTTTAAAATATTTTAGGCTTACATAATTTTGTTATTTGGTCATTATTACTTGGAAAATATGTATGCTTATTGTTGTTAAGTTATTGTTACTTTGAAAATTGAGAATTTGTTTTTGTTTAAGAATGGTTGATAAGAAATATCAAAAAAAGGGGAAAAGGTAAGATGGTGATCTTACATAGAAATCTTCGTTCACTTCTTACCGATTAAACTACGTGACCATCATTAAAAACAACATTTTCATCGATTTAAGTCTAAATATTTTATATTTATAAGATATATTTAGCATTCAAGGGTGTAGATATATTTTTCTAAGTAATATAGAAAAAGTGACCAAATCTTTACGATTTACGATTCGAATCCTGATTTGAAAACTATGCCTAAAATTGTTTCAGAGCTTTGGTTTTTGGAGGTATTGGGTTAAAATCTTCTGTGTGTTTGCTTACTTCATGTTTATATTTGTGGACTTCGTTATTTGTGGTTTGCTTGCATTCTATCCATCTGTCTATCTATCCCTCCACATGAAAGCCGAAGTTGTATGTGAGGGAGTGTGTGAGACCTGATATACATTGTTGGGCTCATTCCTTAGTAGCTTATGTAGGAATGTTTTGGCTTTGAATCACAATTTTTATAATAGTTGAACGAGTTTGAAAAACTCATGAAGGATCATAGAGAAGTGTCTAGACACCATTGAGTAGGCATGTTGAGCATATGAATAGGTAATGTACACCCTCTCTACCAGCTGAAGCTTCGGGGCAACTGGTCACCTAACAAGCATTATATGAAAATGCAGCGAGCTGATAACAAAGGTATCCAAAATATACTTCTCTATTATTGAAATGAATTATTGACTATGCTGAATACAATATTCAATAGGGAAAATATGAAAGCCCTATAGTGCTAAATACATGTATTATGACTAAACTACCCTCATAGACTTATTAATGTATCATAGAAGATCTCACACAAGCCTACTTTGAAATGTAAATAAAAAAAATTATATAAAAAAAAAAAGAGAGAGGACAGAAAAAAGGAAAAAAGAAAAGAAAAGAAGAGAAGATAAATATGAAAAGGCAGGATGTAAGTATGCCAAATTACCAGGTAAGCTCTTCCATATAAGAATACATATACTGTAAGAACGGTCATCTGCAATTAAGCCAAATTGTTATAAGATTATTCAAGAAACTTGGCATCTCAAAACATCAATACATTATGGATCATATAGGAAGAACCGAAGAGGAACACGTTAAAGGGAAGGATTTAGTACCATTGTGCACACGTAATAACCGACAGTTGTGAAGAAGAAAGAAAGCATTCTAAAGAAGTCAAAAAGCTGTCCAAGTCTATATACATCCCTGCTCAGAACTTGCTCTCCATTTCCACCAGCAACTTTACCTTCAAATAAGGCAATTTGATTCAACCCAACATCTCTTCCCTTTCCAACCTATATTGAGAAGCAATCTGTCAAGAAACAACCTAGAATATCTTTACTTCAACTAGAAACACGCACATATTACTGTAACAAACCTGAATGTATTCATGGTGCGTAATGTTACCCTGCCTTAATGTGGAATTAAACCCTGCAGAAATTTTATGTATTTCAGAAAAATATAAAAACAAGACATATATGTATAAATTCACCTTGCAAGAAAGCTATGTTTTACGAGAAAAGTCACAATTTGGGACTGGTCTCTCTTCGGAAATAACTAGATCATTGATGTTTGAACTGAAACAATCCAATGTTTCAATCCTCCCATCATGATTAATTAGGAGAACCTATGCCAAGATGTGTGCATGCAGATGTGCACATATTACAAATAGTCAGTATGAGAAAAGAAATGGCAGGCATAATGTTTTAGTACTGCAAAAAGGCCAAGTAGTCTCTTTATGCCTAAATCACATGCAACCAGCCCCAGACAGATCCCTGATAAATGATAACGATTTTTCAACAATAAACTCACTAAATGAGAAGGGATATTACACAGGAAACTCTCTCTTTCTTTATAACTGTAATTCCTTACGCACAGAGTATCCAGTTATGAAATCAAAACTGAATTCTCCCAGAAATTGTAATCCAGATGCCAAGATGGACAAAAATATAAGAACAGTTAATGTGTTCCTTTCATCCAAGAATATAGTCCACACAATACAAGAATTGCAGCAGATCATGAGGGCAGAATGTGATTCAAGTGGGAGGAAGAAATCTTGCAAGTGTGATGCAGAGTAATCAAGGCAATGAAGAGCAAACACATGAATATAAGTTTAGTTCTATCTATGAATCTATTGTAGACATGATACCAAGTTTTTCCCAAACCCGCATGGCGGAAGACACTTGTATAAGTGTGTGTCTAGTGTTACTTAAGTTTGGTCCAAAATAGATATATCATGCTTCTTTGGCACGAGAACTGTCAAATTTATGCTCTTTCATTAGAGAGTTGATCATAAAGTTTCACAAAGAGTACTAACGTGAAGTGTGATCTCTAAGGAAGTATGCACAGATGTTTTTATGCTTAATAATGCATTCATGTTCATGCCAAAACTTAACTATTTTGTGAGCTACAAATGACAGCCATACACCCATGTTGGACACTGGTTACTCACACAAGAAAAAATCATCAATTACTTTAAAAGATGCATGCTGCCTCTTTCTTGGGATTAGAAAGACTACAAAAAGGTACTATTTAATTGCTTAATGTCATATATATATAGGTTTCTGTAACCTTAATTACAACTCAGAATGAAGTACCAACAATAAATTAAGAAATTAGTGGCCTCCTACATGCTTACCTGCATATATATCTTCACTAATATTAATAACACGTGATGCTTTACTAATGCCACCTCGAGATATATGAAAGATTCGATCAAAGACATCTGGATGTCCGTAGTGCATACGAACTCTGCAACATTTTGTTGTAAAATAAATTAAATACTTTCACAGGAAAAACAGGACATTGTATGAGTTTGTTAGATAAATCATATGAAGTCAAACTAGCCAAAATAAAGATCAACTTTCCATAATCGCTTTAGAAGTGTCCAGTAATTCTAATGAAATGGAATCCCCCACCTTTTTTAGATAACATTTTATGCCAAAATTGATCTATACTACTAAAGTCATCACAAAAGACAACAAAGATTCAGAGTACGCTCAATTTAAGATAACAAAACTACAATCATTCCATTTTCATGGGACATCCATGTACTCAGAAAATTTTTGTATCTCTAACAAGCACATACAATACACAATGAATGCAACCAACTCATATTACAGGTAAAAGATCATCACCTCTTTCTATCAAGAGGTAAATAAAATAACAGTTTAAAAAAATAAAGGAAAATAATGGGCAAGATACAAGGAAGATAGATCCTAAAAAAATAAAAGAACAAAAGCTCATACACTAGTGCTGCAAATGAGTAAGAACTGCCTCAAGCTTAAACCCCCATTTTTAACTAATGTACTGGTTCTTAATTAAGCCTATCAAGAAACCATGAAGCCATCACAAGCAATTGATCAAGAAACACTGGTCAGCTCTCTTATCAAAAGGAAATAATTTCATGAACATCTTTCATGAACATGACCATTACAACAAAATCTTCAGGAATATTGGTCAATTAAATATTATATTACAACCATTTAGGACAGTAAAGTAGATGCAACACTTTCCGGCCAACATCCTTGGTAGTCCCCATTACAGGGGTAGGTAGCTGATGCAGTCAATTAGAGGTTCCAACGGATACAATCAGAGGTCGACCTAAATGAAGCACGGATCAAGGCAAAAATTTTGCAAAATCAGGTCTTACAGCCAATTTCTACTATTTGCAGCAATTAAGGCTCGAACCCAACGAGCTACGGGGCTTAAAACCAAACCCTAAGAAAGCAGAAAAATAAGAATTTGAGAAATATCAAAATAAGAAAATTTTGTCCAACAAAAAATAAGAAAATGACTTTCTCAAACAAAGAGTGCGGCCATATATAAAAGACTAACTGATTACTTCATGCTAAAATACTTATGAAGACAGAAAGTTACAAAAACAAAAAACATGGAGACAAGTGGCTTACATGCTACCATTAATAATGAAGTGGCAAGCAGCTTACTTGCAACCACTTAATGACAAGCAAGTGACAAGTGGCTTAGATAGAACAACCTTAATGACAATTAGGTTGCAAATTGCACATAAGTAGCCACCCCAAGGACAAGTGGTTTATAACTGGCCACCTCCTAAGGATGTTACCTTACAACTAAGGAAATTTAAAAACTAACTTGTAAAATATATTAATCCTAAATGTAACAATTACATTTAATCACAAATTTTGATTAAAAAAACAACTCGAATTTTTTCTTTATCACAAAGCACTGTAAATCGCCTTTAACAAAAAAATAGGCTTGGATCTTTTATCACATCACTAACGATTTTTCCCCACCCACACTCCAATCCAGCTAGCACATTCCCAGTAGCCCTTTTGTGACAAATTGCACCCCAGTACCCTTTTTCCTTCTTGAGTCCCCTTTACTCTAGGTAGCCCTCTCCTATGTGTGGGTACATGGTCTCAACTTGCCACATGGCACCTCTAGGTCACCTTTATATCAACTCCACATAACTATTGGTCCCCTATGTTAGCCTCATAAGGTGGCACATAAACCACTCATATATGGATATTTCATGATCAGTTTAACATCAACTTATGTTACCATGACCAGTTTAACATCAACTTTTTGAGCTACCATGCAGTATAATATGCTCCCTACATTCTGATAAATGCTCACTAGCTTAGCAGGCAGAATGTATTTATCAACCTGATCTGAAGCCAAAAAAAAAAAAAAACACTTAGCTTCTTCTAGATAATTCAATCACAAGTTACAAACTACTACTCACTTAAGTGGATTTGCCAAAACTCGCTGGCCCAAGGTCACAAAACTAGTCTCTTGATTGGACATAAACCAAGCTAAAGATGAGACACTGCAAAAAATCAAACAACAGAAAAATAGGTAAAAGAGATCAGACGGCAAGAAAATAGGAGTTGCCCCAATGAGAAGAAAAAGTGCGCCAAACCTTCCTGTGAACACATGCTCTCTAACACCAAGAATAGTTGGATGTCGAAGGCCATGATCCGCCCGAAATTCCTCTAGAAGATTTCTCATTTTCATTGCCTCCTCAAGATAGTTATCCTACAAAACAATAATGGCATAATTCATTTAAAATTAGAGCTACATCCCCCCATGCTAATATAAAAATGTGTTAATTACATAAAGGTTCAAAACGCCTCCGGTCACAAACATTCGTATGGAATTAATATAGAAGATGTCAATCGAATTACAAATTAAATGGTAAACAAAAACACATAGATGCACATTTCTAAATTATGGTAAGAAAATAATAGAAAGTCAATGCCACAACCATTTGCTGACTGCTGAAGCATACACATTAAGAACATTAAACAAAATGAGAATACTAATATCAGGTGAGAACATGCTTCTACCAGCAAGCCATAAATATCATCCCTATATTCCACCATGCAAGCCCAAGACATTTAAAAAAAAAAAAATGAAAAAGAAAACCAAAAACGAATACAAAGTAAATTCCTAGAATTTTTACTATTTGTTTTGATGCTTTCTACGCAAGTAAAATAAACATCCCAGCAAATAGATTTGTGGTATGAAAGGTGAATCCCACAAAACATCCCATATCTAAGCTTTGCACAGCTTAACATAGGCATTTTGAGCCCAAATTATACCTTGAACATTAAGGAATCATTTGAAAGTATGCATGTCTAAAAATTCATTGTCAGCATATTGTCACGGCCTTGGTAGTTTCCAAGCTATCTGTGCGGCACTTAGACAATCATAAGTTTTACTTTGTGATGCTAAGTCAGCCTAACCCACAAACTTGCAAGAAAGACAAGTAAAAAGACAGAGAGTTTAAAAGAATGCCTTTGTATTCAATTTGAGAAAGCTTACACAACTCTTGGATTATTAATGGAGCAAATGAGCCCCTCTCCTATTTATAGGCATCTTAGGTCTTCTTTAGAATATTCCAGAGCATACAAGAAAAGGACTATGGAGAAGAGTCTCATGGAAGCCTCCCTTATCCTACAAGAGGGTTCTAGAATCCTCCCTAAAAATATCTATACAAACATCTACCTCATCCTAGAAGTAGGTACAAGGATCTTTTACCACCTCCATTTCTCTAGAAGCTTCTATTGCTTCCATTCTTCCAATCTTTACTTAAATGCTATAAAACCTATTCTAGATCTTTCGATGTACATTATAGAATTATGTACCATATTTCCACATTTTCCCTAGTCTTCTAGGAGCTTCCGGAATATTCCATTAGCCTCCCTTCGTTGAGACTTGCTCTTGGCAGGCAATTCTGTCTAGGTAATTTGGCGGGACATGACAATGTGCTGTCCAATTGCATGCGTTTCCATAAAAACAAATTGAAAGTATACACCTCTTGACAAGTATTGAATTTACACAATTTTTTCCCATTGCCTCATTAGTAAACAATCACGAGACTGCCTTTCAATCATCTACAGAAAAAACATCCAAAGCAAAACTTATCCAGCCCAAAGGTCATCCCACAGACCAAATCAGTGATGACCTCTAGCCCCATGCATAAGACACAAAATAAGATTACATATGAAATCTAGCGAAATACTATTGTGACCAATTCTCGTGAGCTTTTTCTTTATAACATCTTATATATAGTACAAGTAAGAGCAAGGAAAGTATAGAATAATATCCCTCTTACTCCCACATTTTTACCTACAAAAGCCATAACCTTTAACATGTAAAAAGGTTGCAAAACTTATTCTTGTCCACCAAGGTGATTGCCACTTCTTAAAGAATCACATACATAAAAGCATAGATCTGACAACTAAAAGCCTATGTGAGACATTATTACACACAAAAAATAAATGAGTCACCTGATTCATGTCAATGGTTTGAACAGCTTCTCCACGAGTAAAGACTACAGCATGATTTTGGTTCTCAGGCTTCCCTTCTCCAAGTTTTGGATCTCCAGGAAGTTTAATGGAATATATTTCCTGCATATGGATGAATGAGGAACATATAAACACCAAATTGATGATCGCAAAGCCCAAATTTGAAAAGATTAATACCAATATATAGCATACAAATTGACATCTTGAAAACTAAAATACAATAAAGTACAACAATCGATCTAGTGGTACAATTTAACAGATGTGAGGGTTTATTTTCCTTTATGTTCTAAAAGTATTAGCTTTTCATTTTTACAATTTAACCCATCATCAAAATAATTTTAAATTTTGATCCCTGTCATGGCCACCATAGTGTCCTCAGCATTGTCTGTGGTGTACAGGAAAAAATAAAATAAAATATTCAAGAAAATTAAAAGGTGCCCCACCACGTGTCCAACAAATGTACACCTGCCTAAGTGAAGTAAACCTGCTTCCTATCTGCATTCATATAATTTCACAACAAAAAAAAATTGCCAATCACTAGATTTGGACAAATAATAGGCTAGCGTTCTTCACTTAACAATTACTTGATGCCCTTCGAAGAAAAAAACCCACTATCTTCTTTGTTGTCATCTTAAGAAAACCATATCAAACAAAAACACCAATGGCAAGTGAATAATGTTGGGTGTACCTCTTTAGTGGAGTGTGAGACCCAATTTATTTATTGAAGTGATATTCAATTAAGTTCGGTGTTAGTTGCAATATGATCTTTGGAGACCCAATGGAGTAATTAATCAAGTTGGCAGCTAATTTATTAAGGTGTTGTTTCGTTTTTGAGTTGGGGCTAAAAAATCACAGAAGGACAAAAAAAAAAAGGTCAAAAATCACAAAAAGACAAAAAAATATTTGCCATTCCAAAGCCAAAAAGCCAAAAAAGAATACCAAACGACCAAAAAAGTCCTAGGCTAAAAAAGTCAAAAAAATCAAAAAACCAACTAAAAAAGTCATTGCCTAACGAGCACTAAAAGACCTTTTGGTATCCTTATTTTCTCATTGGTGGAAACTTGGTGGGAGCACTTTAGAGTGCATTGGTAGTCTAATGGACACATATTCACTCTCTGTATCAAGTGCTTCAGGGATATACTCTAATTAACTTTTAAGTGCTTCACTTGCGCTTTGTTGGTCCCAGACTTGGTGGCTCTAATTTTGCTCCATCATTAGCAGTCCACATTAAAGCTTCGAAGGCCTCTTTGATGTGCTGCATCCAGGGCAGTCAATGGATTGGATTTAATCCGAATCCGACCCGAATCCAATCCAAAAAGTATGAATACATTTACATAAAAATCCGAAACGGCAATCCGAAAATCCGACCCGATCTGATAATCCGATTACTCTCAATTTGAACGAAGAAAACACAAATGAAAAAAAAAAAGGGGGTTTTTTATTGATAAATCTCATTTAGAGGTGTTCTAACCCAATAAGTCCACCAAGGAAAATTATAACCTAGTTAGTTCCATGTATTGTGGGAGCACTTTAGAGTGCATTGGTAGTCTAATGGACACATATTCACTCTCTGTATCAAGTGCTTCAGGGATATACTCTAATTAACTTTTAAGTGCTTCACTTGTGCTTTGTTGGTCCCAGACTTGGTGCTCTAATTTTGCTCCATCATTAGCAGTCCACATTAAAGCTTCGAAGGCCTCTTTGATGTGCTGCATCCAGGGCAGTCAATGGATTGGATTTAATCCGAATCCGACCCGAATCCAACCCAAAAAGTACTAATACATTTACATAAAAATCCGAAACGGCAATCCGAAAATCCGACCCGATCTGATAATCTGATTACTCTCAATTAGAATGAAGAAAACACAAATGAAAAAAAAAAAAAAGGGGGTTTTTTATTGATAAATCTCATTTAGAGGTGTTCTAACCCAATAAGTCCACCAAGGAAAATTATAACCTAGTTAGTTCCATGTATTTATACTTTTATTCCATGAGGTCCTTTTTTCCTGATTTATATTGTTTGTTAGACTATTATACCCTTATGTCTATTGTTGATATGTATTACATAGAAAAATGATATACACATTTCTTTTTTGTTGCTACTTCTATCTTAGTAGTTACCATTATTCACATTTTTTTTTTTAATCAATTTCATTCACATTTGTCGTATTGTTTCATTGTGCTAGGATTTCGAAACTCTCTATTTGGTAAAGTTTAGAACTCTAGTTTACACATGGTAGTTAAATAATATTTTCCTCCATTGTTGCGGTGAAACTTCGTGTTCCTCCATTGTGTTCGAAATTCTGTGTTCGTCCATTTTTGTTCTGTGTTCGAAACTCTATGTTTGTCCATTGTTGTAAGTTGAAACTTTGTTTATATCCAGTCAATTTTGTTACAAACATATTCTTCAAAGGTGGGTTTGGTTTGATTTGGATTGGTGGAATAGTGAAATTGCATAGATTGTTAATGATAATGATAATGATGATGATGATGAAGATGAGGATGTGGGTGATTTTTTTTTTGTTTTTAGAGTGATTGAGTTTTTGGATTTCTAATTATACTACTCCCATTATTTCTATTTTTTTGTCAATCAGTGTGAATGTTCAAATTTCATATTGTTTGAAAGTCTAAGAAATAAATGTTAAAATATAGATATGGGCATAATTATATATTTTGCAAGATGCGAATGTTCACATATTATTGGTTATTTGTTACTACACTTGTTGTTTGAACAATCATTTTTTGTTACCATAAAACAATTGAAATAGTCATTTTTTTATTGTTTCAATTTTGTTTCATGTTGCAGTGTGAATGTTCACATTGGTATGAATTTAGTTTTTCTAAAGTTAGTTGCATGTTAATTGTAAATTGCGAACATTCACATTGTATTTTGATATGAACTTTTTTTTTTTTTTTTTTTGAAATTTTTTCACAAGTTAATTGTATTTTGTTTTTTTTTTTTTTTAAACTATACTTGTTAGTTGAACAGTCATTTTGTTACCATTGAACAATCGAAATAGTCTATTCACACTTTTTTCAATTTTATTTTATGTTTTCACGTTACAGTGTGAATGTTTACATTAGTATGAGTTTTTTGTTAAAAAAAAAAACTAGTTGTATATTAATTGTAAATTGTGAACATTCACATTGTATTTTGGTATAAGTTTTGTTTTTTCGAAAGTTAATTGTATGTTTGTTGTTTTTTGTTACTATGCTTATTAATTGAACAATCATTTTTGTTACCATTGAACAATTGAAATAGTCGATTTTTACTTTTTTCAATTTTGTTTTTATGTTTTCACGTTGCAGTGCAAATGTTTACATTGGTATAAATTATTTTTTTTAAGGCTCATTGTGTGTTAATTATAAATTGTGAACATTCACATTATATTTTGGTATGAATTTTATTTTTTTGAAGATTAGTTGTATGTTTATTATTTATTGTAAACATTCACATTGTACTTCAGTATGTATTTTGTTTTTTCAAAAGTTAGTTGTATGTTTGTTATTTATTGTGAACATTCACATTGTATTTTGATTTTCATTCAAATTTTTTGTTGCGTTATTTTTAAAATTTTCAAATTATAAAAAGGTTCAAAATTCAAAATTTGAGATTTTCTCCATGGAATGCGGGAGAGGTTTTCTCCTTAGAATAAAGGAGAGATTTTCTCCATGGAATAAGGGAAAGATTTTCTCTTTAGAATGAGGGAGAGATTTTCTCCATAAAATGAGAGACTATTGTTATGTCTTAGTATCAAAATAGAAACATGTGCAAAAAATTAGAAAAGATTTGGTTATATTATATTAAACATGACTTAATGGAATACTCAAAAAAAATATGGGTTAGATGGAATAAAATACTTAGAAAGAGGATTTATCAAAAAATGACTAAAAAAAAAAATCAAATTATATAATTGCAGCTCAATAAATAAATAGAAGGATCGGATCTGATTATCGAATTGGACATCCGAAATTATCGGATTCGGATTCGGGTGATCTATAACTGGATATGGGATAAACAGGTTCGGATCGGATTCAGATTTTGACAGATCCGATCTGAATCTGATCCATTCACAGGCCTAGCTCCATCTACAGCTGAAATCAGTAGCTTCGACGGTGCTCTTGCTGCTTCTGTTGTTGCCTTGAAGGACAGACAACTTCACTGTAACCTGTTTTGAAGTCTTTGTTCAGTCAATTTGTTTGGTGAGGTTTTTCCTCTTACTATTGTGTTTAGTTGGAATTCACCTCAAAGTGGTTGTGAGACTTTAATGTCTCGGTTGTAATCCCTTGTAAACACTTTGGTGATAGTGAAATTGGACTACGGTCTCGTGGATGTACCACACATTGAGGAACCACTTAAAATTCTTTGTAATTGTTTGATACTTTTTCCGCATATTTTTATTTCCTTTGATTGATTTACACTTCTGGGAAATCACCTATTTTTCCCAACAAATAATACTAAAGGGAAAGAAAGAGGAAAAGGAAAGAAAGGATAAAAGAATAGAAAATTCATAAGTAAAAGATCTAATTCATATACACAGCGAAGCAAAAACTATGTGGAACATTGTGCAGGATAGTGGGGTTTGTAGGTTTTTGTGAAGATGATGCAAGTAAATGATCTGATTCATATAGACAGGAAAACAAAAACTATGTGGAACAATGTTGCATACCTGATCTTTCCCATGTACATCAGCTTTAACAAGCTTTGAATAGAATTCCTTTAAAACCGTTCCATCAGCTGCACCACTCTCCTCCACATGTATGAAAGCAACACGAAGTGCCTCATTCCTAACAACAAATAACAAACAATTAAAAAGCTTTAACCACTGGCTCTAAAGTGAAGCGCTTCCAAGAAGTAATCAGCTATTAACAAAGATCACACAAGGGCCCGTCCTTTTGCAGGAATTTACAGTGATGTTTCTGAAAACCAGGAAACGCTTTAGTCCTGAATCCTGACATCTCCACTCCATTCCTATATACCTACGTGTGCTGAGGATCACTCAATAAGGAGAGGGCTCCACTGGGATGGCAGCAACCTAAAACCACCTCCATGATTATTAGTTATTTCAGCTCCAAGCCTCACTTAGTAAACAAAAAGTTTTCCTTCACCTCCAGGATCCATGACAACCAATTTCTTTTCAGTTCCCTTGCATGCTCCTTTGCCATCTGATTTCCCAGTTTCAGTAGTGCTTCCTTAATTCTCAATTTTTTTTGTGCGCATCAATTGTGAATTCATGCCAGATTATAATTCATTTCTTATAATGCTATATTTTTTTAATTAAATTTGATTTATTCATTTCTAATAGTCAGCTGGAGGAAATAAATGCAAGTAGCAGACCCAAAATAACTGACACAAAGGCTTGTTGAATTGTGTATATATATATTGTTTCTAGAATTATATGCAAAAAAAATTCATTTTTCCTGTACTAGAATATTCAAGACGGGCACTTCAGATGAGAAGCCTGAGCGCATGACATTGACATCACATTCCCCCTAACACTTCAGTGTTGAAAACCTTTGAGCTACAAGATCAAATATAAGACTATTTTAATTCACACCAAGAATTCTGTTATAGTCTGTGAACACAAAGGCCTCGAGGTAAAAAAGAAACTAGTAAGTTCATATAAGATTAAAAGTTTGGTATGGAATGTTCAAAATAAGTGCACTTTTTGACTTTTTATAAAAAAAATTATAGAAAAGTAAAGAGGAAATGTTAATAGATGTTGATTGATGTGACCCAAATAAGTGTATGTATGCAAAAAAAGTGCACTTTTTTAGTGCATGCCAAACACCTACTTAATATTGAAAAGTACCTTTGCAACAAAAGAGCAATATCAGCCGCCTCTGGAGCTTTGCGCTGTTTTTGTTGCCCATAAATTTGGCAAGAAATAACATAAGTGAACTTTAAGTCAGCTTGTGCCCGCGCTTCAAAGGAAGACTGAAAACCTTGTGATGTTAGGACTTTTGCTTGAGAAAAATCATCCTCTGTTGATACAAGAAATAGATGAGAAAGAATATCTATGCCTTTGCTTCAAATAGTACTTCGGACCGATAAGAATTCACAAAACAAAATACCTCCCGGAGATCTTCTTTCCAGGAAACTCTGTAACATTAATGCCCTTCTATAGTACATCATGCCACGTACTGTAATTCCAACCATGATAATGGACACTATTAGGATATGAAGTAAATATCTATGTCGTGTAAACTTTCCAAAGGATGCTGAAATTGAAAATAAACAAAGTTTTCACACAAGATTCAGGGAGTAATATGAATAAGCATCAACTGAATCTAACCTGTCCTAGCTAAAGTCTGGCCTCGATACGATGCCCAAAACCGAAGCTCCAAGGAAGCAGTTTCTTGAAGTTCTGCATCCCCACTATCTCTTCGACCAATCCGTTCCAAAAAGTTATCCCATTCATCTAAAAAATACAAAATAAATAAAATTATTTGCAATGACATGAACTGAGATAGCAAACAAGTGAAAAAAAAAAAAGCAATGCAATAGGAATCTAAAAGGTACAAAATAAATAAAATTACAAACTGTGAGATAGCATACAAGAGAACATTAAAATAAAAATATAAAAAAGCAATGCAATGCAATAGGACTCCTCATTAGTTAAGAAGGAAATTTACAAGAACCAATCTTGCGGCTTGCTAGAGTTGAGAGTTTGTCAAGGTGCTTCATCCCAACCTCCTTGAGGGTCTTGCACCTAGACACTGGTCTTAGAGACATCACCAAACCAAGACAAAGACAAGTGGCATGCCCTGTAGCTTCCCACACCTAAGGAACATGCCTCTACTACTCTTGCAACCTCCAAGCACATAAGAGGATATCAGTGCCACAACAACCCACCAACACGTCTCCACTAACAGGATGTCAGGCCATTTAGGGAGAGTCACCTGGCATTTGTACCAGCTTGGGCATGTGCCTCACACACGCCAGGGTAAGTTGGCCTCCATCACCTGACCCATCGATATACATAGATTTTCATCCTCCATAGTCTCCATGTGGTCATATAGAGACTCTGGTTCATCCACTCCTGGCCTCCAATACTGCTCCCGTTTCTTCGGGGACCAGCTCAGCTTTCACCCAGCCCATCTACAGCAACCAAAGTGTCATCTCAGCAACTACCATACTTCCCAGATGGCTCCGTAGCAACCTATTCAGAACCAATCACCCACAAACATCAAGTCTAGGCAAAAGTTGGCAGGCACCAAACTCCATTTACTTTAAAGCAACACAAAACTAGTGAAGCTATTTGGAGATGCATCTCATCCTTTTTCCATTCCATCTTATTTCTAGATTTTGTAGAACAAAGAATACTCGATATGTATATTTATATATAACACATGTATGTATTGTTCGTGTGTCACAAAGATAAGACCTAAGAAGCACAGACACTTCTAGGAAGTAAGTGTGTCGTGTCCGACACTGACACTCTTCGGACACTTCTAGAAGCATGCCTCACCCTTCTTCAACATGTCTTAATTAAAGAAATCAAATTTAAATTATGGCCACTTTACCAGCACTTCGCGGACACTTTGGCAACACTTCTTGAACCCTACAAACATGTCCTCCTCTGTGATAAATCACTTCATAATAACAATGTTTTGCATGCTTCAAAACATAACTTACACACTCTAAATATGTTTTGAAACATTTAAAAGATGAATACATGTGCATTATAATGTTTTGTAATTTTTTGTATTCTTTAGAATGTAATTCTTATGTGAATGATATATTGAGGTTTAAATTATGAAAAATATGTAACTTTTTAAATTAGTGTAATGTTACATATTTTTGAATAAATTATTCATATATGGCTTAATAAATTTATAAATATATAAAATTTTAACGTGTCCAAAACATTTCATGTCCTTCATTTTTAAAAAATCAGCATGTCGGCATGTCCGTGACGTGTCGTGTCAGTGTCAGTGTCATGTCGCTTGTCTATGTATGTGTCTGTGTTTGTGCTACTTAGGATAAGACCAAAAAAAAGAGAGTTCTCTATTGATGTGCTTTTTTTCTAATTATTTGGTAACACATTTGAATCTATGATGCACCAATACATTATTCAGGCTCACAAGGCAGTATTCAACACATTTGCATCTATGAAGCACCAACATACTTCTGGCCAAGGCTCTCAGGTTGTGAGAGGTTTATTTTATGTAGGCTAGGTGTGTTTTTCCACTCTAAAGGGGGTGGTCCCTTCGGGCATGTATTGAGCTAAATGAAAATCCCTTTCTCTGTATTTTTCTTTTTTTTTTTCTTGTAATAAAACACTTATTCATCAAAAGAAAAGAAGAAAAAAAAATATCACCCTAAATTTTGTAAAGCATAGCTAATTCAAAAGTACTTCTAGGGATGTATATGTGTCTGGATATACAAATGTAAATGCATAATGCATCCACAAGTCTAGATTCTTGACAAGTTAAAATCGCCATTTGAGCTCAGCTTTTCCTGCATAAGGAGAAGTCAAAAAGTTTCCTTCATCAAGAAGAAATGTCAAATATTACAAAAATGATCCAAGTGAAATTTTACTAGACTCCTCCCCTAGATTCGAGAGCTCCACATATGGTCAAGTCATGGAAATTGCATCTATGCGCGCATAAACAATTCAACTAGTCACCCATCACACGGCTCTCAAACCCAACCTGTGGTGGATCCCGGGGGACAGTCTTTTAGCAAACTCTCTTGACACACCGCCCTTTGCCTTACCCTGGATTTGAGATAAGTAGAAAAACACAAAGTTAGGTATAACCAACTTAGTATCATTCTAAAGAGGGAAACCTCTATAGGAGACTTTCCACCTAGGAAGCACGGATACGGATACGGGATACGTGTACGATACGATACGGATACGGCAAAATTCGAAAAAGTAGGATACGGATACGGCAGGGATACGTTCATAAAAAATATTTTTTTCACAATTTTTAGTAATGTAGCATACACAAAAATAAAACTTCAAATTCAATTAATGTAGCATCACCCATAACAACCATAATGCATCACCCATAACAAAAAATTCATCAATTCAATTAAATTTCAACAATTTTAACAATATAGCATCACCCATAACAACCATAATGCAATTCAATCCCAAATTAAGGGGGAAAAAATTTACGAAGTTCATTTATTTATCAATAAGTTTATTTAATTATTTATTAATAAGTTTTTTTTGCCTTATTTGATTTATTAATAAGTTTACAAAGTTTATAATTTTATAAGTTGACAAATTTTATTTTTAATAAGTTTATTTATTTATTTATTAATAAGTTTTTTTACCTTATTTTATTTATTTATTTATTAATAAGTTTATTTATTTATTTGTTTTATCAGATTCAAGTAAACCGAATAATACACATAAGTTTCTCTTTTTTTTTTTAATATCTTATTTGATTTGCAGAGTATACATACAACAAATTAAAAAATAATAATAATAAAAATAAATAGGCAAAACAGACATAGATAAGGGAGAGGGAGAGACAGATCGACCAAGAGGGGGGCGGGGGGAGATGAGATTGAGATCTCCAACCAGACAGATCGAGCGAGAGCGAGAGGGAGAGAGAGAGAGTTCGTGAGATCGAGTGAGAGGCTGACAGAGGGAGCGAAAGGGAGAGAGAGAGGGACAAACCTGATCAACGATCGTGGAGCTCCTGTTCGCGAACCAGATCGACGATCGGCGAGCTGTTGTTCGAGACGACGACGAACTCCTTCTCCTCCTCCTTCGCGGCTGCTGTTCGACCTAGGTAAGAGAGAGTTTAGTTGTTTATTATTTTTCTTTTTTTTTGTGTTTTATTTCATCTTTTTTTCATAGTTTACAATTTGACCCATTTTTAAGTGTTTTAAATTATTTTTTTGCCCCGCCGTATCCATACTGTATCCTGACCGTATCCTGACCGTATCCTCGCGTATCCTAGCCGTATCCGAAATTCAAAAATTAAAAAAAAAAATTGGATACTTCATTTCCCGTATCTGATACGTATCCCGCCGTATCGAGCGCGTATCCGTATCCGATACGCGTACGGGGACTATTTCGGAGTATCCGTGCTTCATAGCTTTCCACCTTCACAACCGCCAGCCATTGTCGGCCCCCACCACCGGCGGTCATCTCTGGCTTCTGACAATTGTTTTCCAGCCACTGGTCGCTAGTGAATTTCCGATGAGAATCTCCAATCACCATTTTCCAACCTCTTCCACCGACTATTCCCCTTTGGTGACCTACTCCCCTAGAAACTCTCCGCATCATCACACTACCACTGCCATAACTGCCACACCACCACAAAAGGATACTTTATTTGGTCAACATCACTTTTCAGAAGAGGCCAGGAGTAGCAAGTGCAAGAACGAAGAGACCAAGTCATTTACTTCATATTTGTTACTCTAGTTCAACAATTGGTTCTTTAATTGGCACTTGACTCGAACCGCTTGCCACGTCTAAACTAGCTACTAGCAAAGAAGGAATTGATTCAAGATCCCCTTGTGCCTTTCAACCCGAAAGTGACACTAAAGCACCTGTGGTGGATAAAGCGCAAAGACTCTTAGAGTCTCGATACTGGCTAAAGGAAATAGAACGACAGGCCGTTATGCTCATTACTAAACTTGTTGAAGAGATGAAATATAATCAAGGTATATCTTTTTAATCAGAGGTTGAATCGAATCATCAGAAGAAGAATTAGGCCAAATATTAGGATACACTCTGGGAAAATAAAACGTTCGTCGAAAAGAAGCAAATGAAAGGTTTTCATAAAAATTCTCATAGAATTGAGAATGAAGTTTTCATTTTGTACATGCCAGATTATGAATTAGTAACTGCATCCAATTTCCAAAAAAAACTCAATTGTTTCGAACTTTCTATTTTTGGAATGGAATATTTACGAAATCTCCATGAATAGGATCAAACCTTATTCCATGGTATTTACATGAGGTTCCTCTTTCTTATTCTTAAGCAAGTCCCCGAGAGGGCTAAAAACATTTGCTTTACGACCTGCAGAACTGTACACCATGCTTTTCGAAACAAGAAATGGTTTGTTTTTCAAAGAAATAGTTGTCTGCTTCATGAACATGTAGGCATAGAAGTAAAAGAAAGAAATAGTAAATTAAACACTGAACAACTTTTTTTGTCTGAGATCCCACCCTCAATATTCAAACCAATCCTAAAAAGCAAATTCTTTGCGTTTAAATGCACTACACAACAAGTGCCAATCGAAAGAGATTGAGAGCAAGAAGCCAGCGCCACCCAACTAGTGCCAATCGAAAATGACTATGCCACAAAGTCATCACCAAAGAGCAACGTAAAAATAAATAATCTAGAGACTCCTCATTCCTCCTACACACATAATACACCATTGAGGCCAAAGAAAACAATTTGGTCTCTATCTTAAAAAAATGCCACTGGCCATGAGACAACTACAAGCCAAAGTCAACAAAAAAAAAACTTTACGTTAAGAGTCCAAACCAATTTCCAAATCCTTTTAAAATGTGAAAAAAAGAGGAGCATTATGAGATCATCAATAATTCTATGAAAAAAACAATTCACATGAGAAAATCTGAGGGATGGAGAGACCAAACCCGAGAATCACTAAGATTAGGTCCAATTCAACCGATTCACCATGCAACTCCATGGGATCAGAGACAAATGGAAATTTGCTATAGATGCAATGGAAAAAAACAATATAAACATGGAAACAACACATCGAAAAGAAAATCCCTTGCCCGAGCATCCTCCCAAAACAGAACACTCACCATTTCCACCTTCAAGGATAAAAAACAAGAGAACAAAGGAAGGGTGTGAGAAATAGATTTCCATGGAGATTTCCACTCTCATAAGCCCTATATTTACTGTTAATAATAGATTGCCATAAAGAGTTGCTCTCATTGAGGAATCTCCATAACCACTTCCCGAGCAAAGTGATATTTCTTGCCACAATGTTCTTGTACCGATCTTCATGTTTTTGAAAAGCAATTCACTAGCTTCAAATAGAAGGCTGAAAAACATGGCCCTCAAAAGGCATATGAATAAAGAATATCACAATCCAATAACACAAGTAGGAAAAAAAAAAAAAAAAGCAACGTTTCTACTACAGGAGATGCAAAAATATTTCTAAAGCCGTTCACAAAATGGAATAAGCTACCAGAGCAAAAACTAGAGAGAGAGAGACAGAGACCTCTGAAAGACAGATTTCAAGCAATGAGAACCATACCTGGAAAAATCTTCTGTAGATAGAAAAGAGTAGATATCCCATCCTCATTTTCAACCCGTAGCTCAGAGGAACTATAAAGTACAGTCTCACTGTAGTATGGGGTGAATACACTATGCTCAAACAAAACAAAACAAAACAGAATTACAATAATATTTATGGAACAATAAATCAATAGCCACCATGGACAAATTCAACAGAACATACCAGAATGGCATCATTTCAGAAACTGGCTTCGCTGAAGGCATTTTCATAAATAATGAATTCGTGAAAAACTGTAATCTTCTTCTTGCTTCAAGATTTTTTGGAATATTAGATGCAGAATCTTTTACAGTAAGAAGTAAGTGCAACCGCTTCACCTGCTCCACCTACAACAAGGAAAAGCAATGACATAGCACTAGTAAATACAACAACACATTTGAACAAATAAAACATTTTCAAAGGTTCTTACAATTTCAGGATCCTTGGGCCATTCTATCCTAGAAAAGAGTCTCCCTTCATTTCTTGCCCTTGCTAATATATTCCATGTATCAAGCTGCTCCCTGAGGATTCAAGTATTTAAATCTTTGAACATATATGCTAACGAAAAACTATTTGATACACAATTTTGCAGGAAATGATGTCCGGTAACAGTGTACCTTAAATCAGATGACAACAGATCATGTGTAACAACCTCATAAAGTTCGTACACGGCATTAGCAGCACCTTTTTCAAGTTGAGGAGTTGCATTCTGGGTCTGATACAATATTTTTTGCAGACAAGCAATATAACTATGAGAATAATATTAGAAAATGGATAAAAAAATAACATGAAATCCAATCCCGAGAAAATTTATCAAACTATACAAGAAATTAGTCCAGCACAACCGCTTTAACTAGAAGCAAATTAACAATTAAAAGATAGAGGCAAAATTTAAAGACGACATACTAAATCATGAAGTGTTGTTGATGTAACTTGGAAAATCACAATAATAAATACAAAATGCAGTAAGTTATTTCATTGAAGCAAATTTGCTTCAGATACATTAGACAATAACTTGGGGGATAGAGAGAGACAAGAAAGTGGAGGAGAAACCCTATAGTCTACTATGGGGATTAAATCCACAAGAAGAATAGATGGAAGGGGAATGGAGGAGAACTCTAGAGTCCTCTGGGGGGCTTGAATCTGCAAGTAGAAGAACAGAGAACGGGAAAGGAGGGTGAAGGATACATGATTGCAGCCCTAAACAAACCCACAGGATTTTCACATCTTGACTTGCTTAACTGACGTAATTTAGTCATATTTATAGACTCTAAAAACTCTAAAGAGTGATTCTACTTGCACCATTACTTTACCACTTTACACCCTCAATTTCATTACACCACTAAAAAAAATGTGATTCTCATTACACCTATTATATTACCAAAACTAACCCTAAAGTAAAACTGTTCAAAACCCTTTCATCCCTTTACGCCACTAAACAATTTACATTCCTCCAACTTTATGTTGCCAAAAAAAATAGATTTCTCCAACTTTATTTACAGAGCCACTTTCTTCCAAACAATGATTTTTAAATTTGTGTCGGGCTTATTCGGTAAGACAATGCTAATGAATTTAAATTAATCTAGTGCCATGTTAGCAGACAAACTTTTTTTTTTTCCAACAATATGTTGTTGTTCGTAAAAAAATCGTATTCATAAAAAACTTAACAAATCTCGCCTGTAATGAATTCATGATTTGAGTCCACTAATAATTCCTCCAACTTTATGTTGCCAAAAAAAATAGATTTCTCCAACTTTATTTACAGAGCCACTTTCTTCCAAACAATGATTTTTAAATTTGTGTCGGGCTTATTCGGTAAGACAATGCTAATGAATTTAAATTAATCTAGTGCCATGTTAGCAGACAAACTTTTTTTTTTCCCAACAATATGTTGTTGTTCGTAAAAAAATCGTATTCATAAAAAATTTAACAAATCTCGCCTGTAATGAATTCATGATTTGAGTCCACTAATAATGTAGTACTTGCATTTTTGTAATGAGTAGAAGCATAATCCTTTCAAGAAAAAATATATATATATATATATAAAAAAAAAATGAAACTGGAAATACACGATAATAAGTAGCTGAACAAATTAAAAAAATTCAACATGGGATTACCAGAAATGTATCTTTTATTCGGCAGTTAGTTACCAGACATACATTTTTTTGTTCGACAATGTGATGCCGGACTATTTTATTTTGTTCGATTTTGAAACACCGAACAAATATCAAAGAACAGTCTAGAAAAACTAAACAAAAACCTACCAAACAAATAAAAAAATTCACCATCTCACTTTTTTGATGGTTCATCACCACCATTCCTTCATCCATTGCTTTATTCTATGATCAAAATACTTTGATTCTCACTTTTTGAAAAGAGATATGTAGAGAAGAAAAATTGAGAAAGGAAGAAGATGAGTTAGGGATTTAGGGATTGAAGACTAAGGGGTGTAAGGAGACAATAAAATGTATTTAATTTTAGTGTTTTGTCTTTAAAGGTAATTTCACACATTGGTAAAATTGAAAAAAAAAAAAGAACATCTCATTGAAGGGTGTAAAGAGGTAAAGTAGTCGTGTAAGTAGAATCACTCAACTCTAAAATGCAAATTTACAAATATAACCCCATACACATATTTACAAAAATAGCCCTCATCCAAAAATTGCAATAACATATCAGGTCATCAATTTGTATGTTTTTCCTTATTGAAGTATATCACATCAAACCCTTCTTGGAGAAAACTCGTCCTTGAGTTTAAGAGGTCATGAATGCTCCAAAAATTGCACCTTGTTCCATAATCCAATCAATGCAGCCCTATGTTCCCAAAACATGAATTACCATAATTAAAATGAAAATCTTTATAGCCCAAAATCCAAACAAGTAACTACTTTCTCACAGGAATAACACCAACACCTATGTGGCACCAACCAAAGGGAAACTAAATGAGTGGAGAGGGAAAAAATCAGCAGCAGAGAAGAAGGAGACAAAGGCAACAACAATAACACCAGCAAAGAAGAAGAGTATAATAGCAGCAGCAGTGATAGAAGAGAATTCCAGCAGCAGTAAGGGAGAAGGGAAAGCAACATTTACAGCATTGAAGAGACAGACCAACAGAAAGAAAGGACAAGGTTGCAGATGCAGAGAATAGGATAATAAATTCAAAAAAGATAAACAGTAATAATAAAAGGAGAAGAAAAGAGCAGAGGAAAGGAATAAGAAACAGGTAGGGAAGAAGAGAAAGAACAAGAAAACAGTAAAGAAAAGGAAGAAGTTGAGATACGCAAAGAAGGAGAAAGAACAAGGGAGATGCAGAACGGAGAGACAGGAGGAAGCCGATGTTGAGAAGAAGAAACAGAGAAAAATGAGATGTTGAGACAACGATGAAACAAAGGAGATGCTGATAAGTAGAAGAAACAGAGAAGCAGATGTAACTTGGCTCTGATTATGTACTATCTGATGTAATTTGGCTGTCATTAGGTCCCAATCTGAGCTTAAGGAGTTCAAGCTCTAATATCTAACTGATGTAACTTGGAAATCACACACACACACACAAAAAAAAAAAAAAAAACAGCACACACAATTTGAAGTATATTATTTTATTGAAAGAGAAATGTTTTGGATACATTAACCGATAAAACGGAGTCGACTAGGAAACCATAAGGGGAAAAAATGGAGGAAAACCCTACAGTCCACTAGGGAGCTTGAATTCACAAGAAGAATGGAGCAAGGGGAGAATGGGGAAGGATACATAGCCGCAACCCTCAAAAACCCACATGGTTATCACATCTTGACATGCTCAACTGACCTAATTGACTTGTGTATTTATAAAATCTTCAAAACCCTAAAATGTAAAATTACAAATAACATATCAAGCCTGTGAGAATATTACGTTTCATGTATATATGATAGTTTATATATTCTGTATATATTAGGGATTTTGTTCCTTTTTTAATTCTGGGGCTAGATTGATATATAAACCAATGTATTCTTCTATTTTACACACAATTGAATATACAGTTCTTATTCAGAAATCTTACATAGTAGTAGAGCTTTGTCGAAAATCGTAGCAGCCATCCCAAAATCCTCTCTGGTCTGATTTATGGTTTCGAATCTGTTCGCTGGACTCAATCGAGTTATCCGGTCCTCATCAAGTCCATCCTCTGCTTCGTTAGGGTTGTGAGACCCATTTGAGTTTGAGTTGTGATATTTCGAACGCAAAACATCATATTCGAAAAGACCCAGTTCGTCCATCTCTCTAGTCTTCTGGTTTTTGACCTGTCTGGTTCATTGCGATCCGTCTGAGTTCGAATCGTGACCTATCTGACTCGAGAAGACCGAGGACTTCTTCCTCTGCTTCAGCAGTTCGTACGAGGGCTTCGTTTGGCTCGTCCAGTCGTGCGAGGGGTTTTTCTCTCTCTTGGTTTGGTTCGCAAGGTCTTCTTCTTTCTCGCTAGAGTAGATTTCGCGCAACCATTCGCTAGCTCAGCTTCATATCGTGAAGTTTTCTTGCTTCCTGGTTTAGCTTTGCTTGGCGAATCTCCTTTGCTGGTTCTCTCTTTGTAAACTGGGTTTGGATTATCTGTGTATTTGGTCTCAGCTTATTATACTATTGACCTATCTGGTATTGTTTCTGGATATTACAATCAGTTTTCTAGCTTATTATATTATTAATCCATCAGTGTTCTAGCTTTGGATCATTACGGTGTTGGATATCCATCAGCTTCAGCCTTCTGCAAAGCCCAAAAAAAGAGCCATTGGCATCAGATGAGTGTGCCTTCTGCCATCAAAGGGTTCATTGGAAGTATCACTGTCTCAAGAAGGGATGTTTGTCTGGCTCGTCTCCTCAGCAGTCTCGGACCCAGTTTTGCCCTTCTTCTCTGAGTAATTTTTAGGCTCCCACCGATTCTACTGTATCTGTTCCAGCTCTTGATCCTGACTTTTCCTTCAGATTAGTCCGCTTCAGCATACACTGTCTACCTCCCAACCATCCCCGTCTGTCTCTATTGTTTCCTCTCCTCATTCAAGTTAGTTCGGGACTTCTTCAGGTATCTCTTTGTCTGTCTGGATTTTTTACTCTGGTGCCTCTCATCATATGACTCTGCATTTCTTCTTACTTCAAAATTGTACTTCCCCACCCTTTCATATTACTGTTAATGCTGCTAATAGGTCTGGTATGTCTGTTATATCTGTTGGGTCTATCTTACTGTCTATTATGTTTGTTGTCTCTATTCCATCTATCCTTTATGTTCCTTAGTTATCTGTCAGTTTATTATCTATTAGTCAGCTTGATGCCTCCAGTTTTGATGTTATCTTTTCTTCTTCTATCTGTTCTGTACAGGATCGAATGTCCAAGCAACAGATTGGGATTGGCCATAGAGTTGGAAACCTCTATGTGGTGGAGAGCTTGCATTTGCCTATGACAACCTCTCCAACTGTTTTTTTCTCTTTTCAGTTAGATTCTCTGTCCAGTCCTTTCTACTTATGGCATTCTAGATTAGGGCACTTGTCTGCTGACCGCTTATGGTCTTTAGCTCAGTCAAGTATATTAATGACTCTGCATTTCTTCTTACTTCAAAATTGTACTTCCCCACCCTTTCATATTACTGTTAATGCTGCTAATAGGTCTGGTATGTCTGTTATATCTGTTGGGTCTATCTTACTGTCTATTATGTTTGTTGTCTCTATTCCATCTATCCTTTATGTTCCTTAGTTATCTGT